TGGAAAAGTTACTGCAATAACAGTGATTAGGAGCATGAGTATATATGTATAATTCCTTTGTCAAGAAGAATGTCAAAATTTGAAGCTTTGAAGGAAGCAATGCCATGAGTCTTGCGAAAAGACACACCAGATTACTTGGTAACCATAGATACTCATGTCTGTATTGCAGATGCTACATTTTCTAAAGGAAATTGCCTAAAAATATTGCACAAAAGAACAAACACTGCAAGGAACAATGAAACACTTTATTTCATGCTACATAAAACATTGAGTAAATACTTCCAACTTGTAATCTTTCATCCACATAGCTTGTACATTCTGTCTATGTATAATTCAAAACACAAATTGCTGCATTCTAGCACATATTTCCTTAATTACTCAAAGCAATCTCTTACATAGGAAGATCTACCTGAAGTTTCCTGTTCGTGCCCCAATAAATGAAATGAAGTCTCAGGCCAGTATCCTATAACCGCATTCTGCATGTAGGAGGGCTGTTCTGCAGCTTATGCAAGGAGGTATCCAGTATCTCCTTGTGCAGGTGAAAAGCCCATTGAAAACAACATAGCGGCAAGCCAAAGACCGTGATCTACAGTCAGAGCTTTAAGCTCTGCTCACAGTGAACATGATACTGACCTCAGAAGCATACAATTTGCACAGGTTCTGTGTCATCTCTGCTTATAAGGATTACATATGACTACGTGGATAATAATGGATAACTATAACAAATATAAATATATTACCAATGATACATATTATTCAATAATGAAAATAGCATAAATGTATAGTTTAATTAAAGATAAAGCTACCACAACCCCACAATCTCTGTAGCAGGCTGTAAAAAGAAAAAAGAAAAGAAAAGGCACACATTTCCCCCCGTTTCTCTCCACCATCTGATTTATGTGCCAACATAACTCACATTAAAGTAGGCCCTTAAGCCAAGCAAATGCAAGATCCATGTATAAAATATCAGAGTTCCAGCTTTTCTACCATCTAACTGCAGTAAGTCAGATTCACTCTTTGCCTTACAAATTTTCAGACACATCCTGTTCTCTACAATGCCCTGATATACTGAGTAAAATTGATTCCCCATATTTTGACTAACCGGATCAAGCTGATGGATAAATATTAAGGGAAAGATAGTGACAAATCTCATACATGATTGGGGGATTGCTGGGCTGATGACTTCCAGAAGGCAGTGGGCTCCTTACATTCACACCTGAACCTTTGAAAGAAGGCACATCCCATCACTGGAAGGGGGGGGGGACACACAGAAAAAAAGCCCTGGTTGTACAGGGTGTAGTTTTGCAGGCTCCACCAGTTATTTCAGGCCAGACCAGGCTCCCCCCACCCCACAACCCCACCCCCAAAAAAGAAAACCAGGACTGACAAGAACCGTAAGTGGCACAGGATCCCAGGCAGCTGGACTGTAACTGCAAGTGGTATATGACTAGGACTTAAGCACCAGGACTGTATGTGGCCGGTGGTCCTCTTTTTGCCAACCCTTAGGCTGGATGAAATAAAACCTAGATACTACAAAGAAACTGATTACCTACTGAAATTTCAATATGATTACAGGGTGAACCAGATGTGAGCCTAATTAAACAAACACAATCCTCTCTTTTTACGTTTCAGATATTTAGATGTCTAGAGAAACAAACAGGATAGAGTTTCAAAAACACATAATTTTTAGGACCAGTGGTTTCATCAGTTTATGAGCTTGCCTTCCAGCCTGGGAACTTGTATCTGCATGCGTGAGATGCTCCATGCAGAGAAATCCTTATTCTCACATGGCAAAGGTGCCTTAGATGTTTTCTGGAAAGGATAAGCCTGCTCCTTCAGCCATACACTGGATTTTTGTCAAGTGTGGAAAAAATATCAAGAAGTTGTATCTTAAGAGTTCTAACAAGTTGGCCGAGTCTCTGTTTATTTCATTTTATGTCACCATCTGCTTCCTGAAGCCAAGAGAGTGGGCCGGTGGATTAAGCACGTCAACAAGCTCTTTGTATCAGAGAAGGCACCACTTAAGCAGCCGTCATGACAGCTCCCTCATACCTCACTTACTGGCTTGACTGCTGCTTAGGCTGTGGAAAATTTGTCTCTGGGGAGAACTTTTGATGACCTAACCACTTATCAACATCTCTAGTGAGACTGTGTTGGTAAAAATAGTCTCTGGGCATAGGTCGCCCTGTTCTACTTATCCTTCCCTTCATGTGTGCCCACAACATCAGAGAGAGAAAGGATGAGGGCTGAAGATAAAATTTTGGCCAAAACCAGACTCCAAAATTAATCACTTGTTAAATATTTCCTCAGGGGAAAGGGGATGATTAACTTCTTAAAGACGTTACTGCTTGAAACTGTCTTTCAGACTGGCTGTATTATTTTAAAGGCAAGACAAACTATTTATGTTCATGATGTGGGTGGTCAGAAATTGTTTACTGAATAATATAGGAAAACTGGAGCTGATGATCAAGCTGACGAGTTCAGCATCCAGTCCTCCTACAAGCACTTTAGGTGAATAGGTCAAATCTACATTTGTGAAATGAATCACTTAAGTAGGACATTGTAAAGTCTAGAGACTCCTACAAAAAAAGTCCAAAACTTAGATGAGATTATAAATGGTCAACCTTGTGTGTGTGTTCAGTGTTACAAATGGATTAGGACTGCTCAGACACCCATTGGCCAGAATCCTATTGGTAGTACAGTCTAGATAGAGCAAACCAATTAAATCAACTTGAATTTAGATAAGTATTGACTCATAATTCAACCACTGATATACTGTAATGACTCTGGTATTGTTGGCAGTAGCAATAGGAGTTAGATCTTTGTACATTATAGTATTTATGTGACTTTCTGCTCTCATATACCTATAATTGTCATTAGATTCATGCACAATTCCACTAGACATTTTCCCACATGTGCCCTAGACTGAATGAGACCATGTTGCCATCCATGTTTAAATTCCCATGTCCATACAAAGGGAATGACAACATCGTGATATTGCTATCAGAATTTATCAGCTAAAATTTATCAAGGAAGCTCAAAATGGGAATCTAATTATGTGATATAGGCATGTGTCAGCTAGAGACATGTAATGAGAGCAAAAGCTACTTCGTGGTAAAAATAAGTACAACATATTCATCTGGAATTTTCTTTGGGAAAGGCTGATTCTAAGATTTGAGGGATCCATCTAAATTCTGTGGGAAACCATTCCAAATTTCATCTTGAAACTGAGTACAGTTGACCCCATGAGCACGCCCTGTGAGGTCTGCAGAACACCTGAGCATATATTTTAAAGCAAAAAATTAGACCCAACCAAGTATGGCTTTTAAAAAGTGTAACAACAAAAAATGTATCCTGGTAGAGGTATCTGCATTTTATATTTTCTGTTCATCTTAAATTTAAAACTATGCCTAATTCTTTGAATTCTGGCAAATAAATTGTTCAAGAAAACAGGTTTGTTTCACACACACCCCTCCCAAAAAGAAGATTATAGCAGCAATCCACTAGCCATTTAGGAGTTGTCAGATGGGATGTATAACCTTGATCAGATGACCAAAACTAATTAGTAGTGCCCTACCATGCTGATCCTCACTGGTGCCATTTCAGATTACTGTATGCATACATAGCCTTGCACTTCAAGGAGCGGTTCACTCTGGGAGCAAGTATTTTCTGGAATTTAACTTTTCTTCAGTTGTACTGTATTTGGACGCATCCGCTATCCATTAAATTCCATTATGGTGATATATTCCATTCACATGTACATTTCCAGTTCTTACTTATCTACTTCTTATATTTATATCCTGTCTTTCCTTAATGAGTTCACAATGGCACACATAACTCTCCACTTCCCACTTTTTCCTCACAAAAACTCTGCAGGGCTGCAAGAGAGTGACCTCTTAAGGTCGCCCATTGTGTTTCAGGGCCAAGGGAGGTTTTGAACTGAGCTTGACTCCTGGTCCACTATCCTAACCACTACACCACTCTGAGAGAAATATCTGACAAGCCTGCTACAGAAAAAGTTAATAGGCCAAGACCTCACCACAAGCATTTTTCATTAGCTGCGTTATGTAATGCTGTGCGTAGACACTGAAGGCATAAGCAGGGCCATTAAAAAATCATAACCCCATTAAATCCAATGAAAGACATGAAAACAGATAAGAGGCATCAGTTGCTGTAAAAAGTCATACTGTTTGGATAGAAATGCTTTGATTTGTTTTTCTCTCCATCTCCATTTCCAAATGTTTTTGTAATGACTATTTCAAAAAGACTGTGCGTTGGTTGTCCCTTCCTCCAGTACTTCCAGAACTACACAAGAGGCTGCACAGAGATCCACCTATGCCTGAAAAAACCACATTATCTTTAGTCCAGCAGGGCTCTTCTTATGCTCTTGTTAGTCTTGTTTCTCTAGCAGAGCCAGGTGGAACAATTGGGGACCCACCTAACTGGATGAATATTTTTATTTATTTTATTTATTAAATTTATACCCCGCCCCTCTAGACCTTGTCTACTTGGGGCGGCTTGGTAGTTTAATGAACTCCTGGTTTTGCTGCCTGCAAATAGCAGGACTGTCATCTGCACTTGGCAGGTGTGATGAATTTAGCTTTTGGGCTCAGATTCTGTAGACAGTAGAGGAAAATGTTACTATTCCCAGGAGGTAATCTGTTGTCAACTACTTCAATCAATTCGGTAACCTTTATTGGCATAGGAAACTTTAAAAAAAAAACTTATACTGGGAAATTAATAGCAAATAGAGATACACATAATGGTAGTTACACGGCTAAAAAAAAACAACAGCAAAAAACACAATAGGAGATACTTTGGAGTAGTCTAGTTAATTTTTAGAGCCCTGGGCGGAGAGAACCTTTGTAAGAAACTCGGCTACTAAGGCCGTTATTTTTTGTGAATAGTCATTAAGGAGGAAACCTGTGAGTAACTGAGGAGGGCCAGAAAAATTTGAAATTATTGAACCTAATAGACAAGCACACATATCTTTAAAGGAATCATATGTCAACTACTTGGTTCTGATCCACTGAATGGCCTAATTTAAAGTGACAGTCAGAATAACCTCATCAACATGAAATTTAGATTGTTGAGATACAAACCTGTTGTAAACTGCCAGGTCCAGATATTCTCATGTGAATATATCTAACTAGTACAAGGTGGATTTTATGGCATTAGTTTCACATGGTGAGTATGTTATTTGAATACTATTCTATGTGGCACGTGCTGGTGCTCACCATTTTTAGCTGGTTCCCTGTGGCATGAAATATATCAACCTCATCTGGCAATAATGCCTTCAAACAACATATTCATCTGATTAAACTGCTGGTGTAAACTACATCATTGTACCATGGGGACTCGCTGAATGAATTAGTTATAAAGACACAAGAAGGCATATTGTTTTCTAGGTACATCCTTATCCTTTCTTGTACTGACCAGTGCTGTCTTGACCTATGGCCACGTGGCTTATAGAGAGACTAAGATGGCATATGCAGGATTGACCCTTTCTTCAATAGGACACGTTGCATTTTTAACAGACCCTTCTTTATCTTTATCAGTCTATAAATCTATGAAGCAGTTGTTACTTAACTTGCAACTGAGTACAAGTTGCAGGGATTCAAAACTACTTGTGCCCAGTCTGTGTGAGCCATCCCTGACCTGGCACCTCCAATGTGTTGGATTACAAAGCTAATCATCCACAGCTAACACAACTACTCACTTGCTAGTTGTGGATGATGAAGTTGCAATCTAACCAATAAACGGCAGCACTAGGTTGGGGAAGGCTGTTCTGTCAAGTATTGCATTTATTTCCTAATAATGGGGGGGGGGAGAGAAACAGTTTCCCAATTCAAAATGTTTTCTTAAGAGACATGGTTCAAACAACAATTTTCTTAAAACTGGAAGGCTCAAGTAAAAGATGGATAGAAGGATTTAGAAACAATCGGGGGGTCCTTTAGGTAGACAATGTATTTAAGTGAGAGATCTGGACCCTCTTTTTAAATGATTGGGAAGGAAGGGACAGCAGAGTCAGCAATGGGATAAATGGAAACATCTGGAAGTAACAACAGAGAGACCAAAACAGTATCAAGAAGATGTTTAACAACACAGCCTTTGAATTTTAGAAGCTTGTAATACACATAATGTAAAGCAGCTACGAAGATAAATAATACAAATTAGTTAGTAGTAATTGGAGTAAGCAATGGCCCTGCTTGACGGTGGGAGCATCAGTGCCTTGCACAGCTCTGCCACATAGCTACTTGACTAAGTCCTGATATATGCTGGAACGCACAAATCTGGGCAGAGAATCCTTTTCCATTAGCATAAAGATTCTCTTCTGGGCCAAGTCAAAAGTGCTCACGGATGGCTCCACCAGGTTCTTCATGGTCACAGACTTGGTAAAATGGTCAATGTTCACCTAGTAAAAGAGAGGTAAAAAAAAAAGATCCCAGTAACAACTGCTCCAGTCATGTTCCCTCACAGTCTTGTACCATGGGAGACCCCAACCATACACGTTTCTATCAGACTTACTGCAGCATTGCCAACACCTGACTCCCAACAGAGCAAATTTGGAGTCCTGCCAACTCCATTCATCAAGACTAAGAAAAATTACATTTGAAATGAAAATGCATTCAGCATACAGACCACACATTTAAAAAACAAGATATTTAAAAACCTAAGTGAAAACATGGTCTGAAATCCAGTTCTGGAATTCTGACTACAACTGTTAAAACCTATAAAATTGTCCTTTTCTGAGTCAGACTACTGGTCCTCTCTGGTCCAGTCTGGTCTTCTGGTGCCTGAGACGGAGCCCTGGGACTTCAGATCTCTTAAGGGGTTGTCCAAATGCAAACTGTGTCTCTGCTACAGAGCTTTGGCTTCTCTCAAGTACATGGGTCTTGTTTGTGGGTTAAATGTGGTAGCATCCATATTTCAATATATTAATGCTAGAATTTCTTTTTGTGTGTGTATGTGTGTAGAGCAAATTCTAAGGAAATCAGAACTGGCTCAAAGTTCTATTACATCTCTAGATCAGAAATCACATTTATTTCCAGAACATTCAGTTAAATGCAGGTTTGGAACCTTATTGCGTAAAGGGTAAAGCCATAATTTTACCTAGAGTAAAACTGATTTGATTAAGCCGCCTAGAGTGGTCGAAATGACTAGATAGGTGGGGTATAAATAAATAAATAAATAAATAAATA